ATCTATTGTATTCGTCAATTAATGACTTCCTCAGAGCCTTCTTCTCGGACACTAATTCATCGATGAGTTCCAGCACTTCGTGTGTCAACTCATCGGCACTATTGGCCATCAATTTGCTCAACTCGTGGGTCTCGTCGGCAATGGTTCGCCAAACGGTCCCGATATTAGTGTTGCCGATGTTGTCATTGAAGTGACACTTCTGTCCGCAAACGGCGACCATAAGCAAAGACGAGGCGTAATCGCGATCGCATCGGATCCTTATGTTTATACAGTTGCGGACGTTATCCAAGAATTTCAACTCTTCTTCTTGTAGTGACAGCACTTTCTCTATGCCTGAGAATCCCATCATTTAATTGAAAATTTGTTACAAAAACTTATGAAAATTATTCATTAAACGATTTATTCAAAATATATATCCATTTTTCTTTTCTCATGAATTAAATATTATTTTTCAAAAGCATTTATTACAAAAAATTAATGTCGATATAATAGTCAGACCGAGTGCTCACCTTTGCTTTGAACAAACATTATTACCACAAAGTTATTGCAAAATAGACTATATTTGCGTTTATGTAACCGAAGAGTGACTACTAGTGCTGACTCTGTTATGCAAATAATAGTCAGACCGAGTGCTCACCTTTGCTTTGAACAAACATTATTACCACAAAGTTATTGCAAAATAGACTATATTTGCGTTTATGTAACCGAAGAGTGACTACTAGTGCTGACTCTGTTATGCAAATCTATATTTAGATTATATAATATGGTATAACTAAATGGCATCACTTGTGCCCTATCTTTAGGATCACAATTTGTAGACAATGTGTGACATATATTTTGCACAATCTATTCATTTCATTTAAACACAAGTTTCTTTTGACACAAAATATAACTAATATTCAATATCTTATCGCTATTTCGCCAAATATTTAGTGCGATTTTTGCCATTAATATATTACTTATCAGTTTGTAATTATACTTATAATTAAAATACTTTATTTCCTTACAAGTTAATGTATAAAATACTGCACCACTAATTTATCAATAATATTTTCTTATTAAATGGGTTTACAAATAATTAATTACAAATAAAATGATAGCAAACATAATATTTAATAAATATTTTAATTAATATCTAAAGTATTTGTTTTTAATAAAACAATTATTTTTATAAAATAAAATAAAATTTTATTATTTGTCAATAATATAATTGAATAAATGCTAAATAATTGTTTCCAAAATTTATACATAGGAGTGATTGAAAATAAATCTAATCTATAATTATTACAAATGATGTATTTGTGTATTAAAAAGTCCTTGCATTAAAAACATCTAAAATCAGTGTTTTGCACCATGTTTAGTGCAATTTTAAAGTACACATCTAGAACTATCTTTGCAAACATGGTTAATAATCGGCCAATCTTTTTGAAATACATCTATTTTATAATATAATTATTAATAATTCTTCTCTGATATCAATTGATAAATATTTTAAGATCCAATTTAACATAAAGATTGTCACATTTGACGTCAGTATGTATTAAAAGTTATCAATTGTTTATAATTCGCATTTATAAATGCATTAAAAATTAGTTTTGGTGCTCATTAAACAACAAATAGATGAAAGTTTTAATTAGAAGTTAATAAACCAATTATTTGCTAAATTTTGTGGTCAAATAAATAATGCCTCGACTTTCAGACAATGTCGAAGAGAGCGACCGAAACACTGTTATTGAAAAATGTGAACAATATTTAGGGGGTATTTGGAAAAGAGATAATTTCACTGTCAGTCGATTCTCGTGAGTATTAAATCAAATATAATGTGTTATACATTAAACATGAGAATATGAATTATCGCATGTCTTGTATGTGTTTTTAGTGATGGATTTTTTAATAAAATATTTTATTGCAAGCAAAATGTTGCCAATAATACCAATGATTTGACTGATTGTGAGCGCAAAGCAGTGGTGGTTAAGATGGCTCTGGAAGACGAGTTCTTCCTCTACAGCCCATTCATATCAACCATTAATACACTACTTCTTTCAAAGTCTGGTTTAGCGCCAAAAGTTTTGGGTATTTTTCCCAATGGAATGATCTGTGAATATATTGAGGTTAGAAATCATATCATAATATGATTACAAAATAAATTCAATGTTTTAACACAACTATAGAGCCGTTCGTACAATCATTTGGATGACGAGAATCCGGCGATCGTAACACTATTGGCACAAAAATTGGCAAAATTTCATTCATTAGAGTCTCCGATACCAAGAGATGGAACCCATCGGTGGTTGGATGTGGTGTTTGACGAGTACTTCAGAGAAGGCATGTTTGACGGCATCAAAAGCAAGCAAATGATTGATATAATAAACAGTAGTCCTCACGAGTGTCTCAAAGGAGCAAATTTGGGCGAAGAGATGAGTTGGGTTAGGGATGCCATTACCAGTGCACCCAAAATACTGGTTCTCTCTCACTGTGACTTCAATCGGGGAAATATATTAATACAACAAAACGGCTCACAAGTGGACCTCTTTTTCATTGACTTTGACTTCACGAGCCATAACTATCGGGGCATTGATTTGGGCCGATATTTCTCGAGTTGGAAACATAAAGACCCGCACTTCGGCGCCGATCCCTTCCCTACCGATCAACAGATGACTCCATTCATTGACGCATACATTCAAGAATCGGATCGTTTGACTGGAAATGAATTCTCTAAGAATGTCCTCAACTCTAGGCATGAGTTGATAAAAGAGGCAAAACTTTTTGCATTAGTCGGAGTTATTATTGATGTTATGTTTTGTTTGTGGAAAGTATCGACGGAAAGCAATTTAGTTGAAGAGTTTCTGGTAATGAATGACAGATTTGATGAATTTTCAAAATGTTTATAATTTGTGTTTTTATCGTTGATTTACAGGAAAAGGCTGAGAGAAGGTATTCATACTATTTATCACTTAAGAATATATTTCAAAAACAAGATTCGCTGCCAAAGCCTGTCATCAATTGAAGCAATTTATATTTCAATTATTTTAACAATAAACCATTTTTTAAAAATTGTTATATTTTTACATATGTTATTAATTTTTTACTTAAATAAATGCTAATTAAATAATCAATTGTATTTTTAGCATTAATTAAGACAAATCAAAATCAATATACGGTAACAAATAATATGATGATTAAATGACAATTGTCAGTTAGGATTAGAAGCCAATAATTAAAATAAAAGTACAAACCGATATACTTATTATATAAAGAATATACTTTATATACCATGTATGTATGACATCACATGTAACATTTATCATAATAATCCCTGTTTAATGTAATTTAATCATATGTTTCCAATGGAAACTTTACATAATCATACACTTCACTGAATTAGACAAATACTAAAAATTGATAAATAAAAGTTACCACAATGTTTCTTAATTAATTATTTGCTATGAGATTATCGTTTTTAAAAACAAGCATTTGCTGTAAAACTAATTTATTGAGAACTTTATCTAAATATTCGTCAAATTCAGACAATTATCACTAAAAATAAATAATTTTTCACAAATAAGTATAATTATCTCATGAGCGAAGACATGGATTGACAGAAATCTAATAAAATTCATATCTCTTTTTGTCAAACAACACTTCAATCCATTAAATACTCTTTGATTAGATGTAATTAGTTTCAGTCGTTTAGAGAAATTGTGTTTAAAGTAATACTTTTCTTTTAAAAAAATCTTTTAATCCAAAATGTCTGTCAAACGAACCAAAATTGCTGTAATCGGTGGCGGAATAATAGGCATGACATCAGCGGTGGTTCTCATTGAAAATATACCCAATATTGAGATAACGGTAATATCTGAAGAATTCACGCCAAACACTACCGGCGATGGCAGTGCGGGACTCATATACCCATATTTGCCGGGAAAAACTGACCCAAAACGGGTTCGCCGATGGGTTAGGGACACAATGAGCTATTTAAGAGACCACTTTGTGTCACCAAATCCGGGTAAACTGGGTATCGGTTTGATGTCATTGTATATGTTATTTGACGAGAGGGTAGACGCGTATAAAAGATCAGAATGTGATGAAGAGATGATAAACTGCAGAGATATGACTCCACAGGAGATGAATCTGTTTCCCCGAAAGTGGACAAAAGGTATATTTGTGACCTCATATTACGCCGAATGCGCTAAACTATTGCCGTTTTTGATGCAAGAATTTAAATCAAAGGTAAGAATACATAATAATATAAAAGTTTGTAATTATTTATTTAATGTGAATATTTTGTCAAAAAGGGCGGACGTGTTATCCAAAAGCGAGTCAATGATATAAAGGAATTGATTGGAAAGTATGATATAGTGATCAATTGCACGGGTGTTGAGGCAAACAAGTGCTGCAGCGATAAGAAAGTGCATCCAATTCGTGGTCAAGTATATCGTGTATACGCGCCGTGGATTAGACACGGAGTGATGGCCGGAGATTACTATATCCTACCGAACAGCGACACAGTTGTGTTGGGCGGCACTAAACAGGCCGACAATTGGAGCCGAGAA